GTTCAATAGGGTGCGTTCAAAATAAAATACAGAGGAGTCGGAGCAAAGAGGGGAAGAAGAACTTACAGTACTTAAAGGTCTACATGAATTATTATAACAAGAAGCGATAAAATTACTTAAATAAACGCTTCTATGCGAATCTGTGGATAGTAGATTTAGAGCAGTACAGTTCAAACTAAACACAATAAAACCCAGCACAGAAAGAAAGTATTAAACGTAGGATAGGTTATTATGTAATAATTCCATTCTAGATCTACCTTCAGTCTAATTTTCAGACCTAAATCCCTAAAACTTTGCATGAAAGAGAGAAATAAAGAAAAAATATCTAACCCTTCTAGGGAAAAGGATTTATGATATTTTTTCGGTTTGTCAATGTTCATCGGTATAGTTAGTATAAGCTAAATAAATTAAGCTACTATGTTTTTGAACATGAATTGCTTATGGCTGGTTTTGAAAATAGACGCTTCAAATATAAGATGAATACTATGCGTGTAATGTGAATAAAATATTGATATTTGGTTAATCAATGTCTTTTAATGACGTTATTGGTAAAAATTGAACAAATTGTTTTTAAGAGTAGTAAATTTATTATTAAAAATATATCTAAGATGGTAATATACTGGCTAATCGAAACCACAAAAGTTAAGAGCTGATTTCAAAGGGCAACTTAACGATAATTTGATAATACAAGATAATATTGAATAATTTTTGATAATTTCATGATAATAATAATATAATAATATTGAAGAATATTTTGTATGTTGGCGATTTGACGTCCAACGGTTATTTAGTAGATGTCCACATTATTATTACTATAATTGCACTTGGTCGACAGCGGCGTTTACGTTTAACATGTAAGTGTATTCATTTGCCATGAAGATCACGGTCACAATACAAATTTGCCAACGGATAAACAATAAACAGCTTTATGGGCACGACGATGTTTTAATAATAATATATACAGGTGTATATTGTGTTGGGCAAACACAATAAATGGTATAATTATTGCCGGAGTCTGCGAATGTCGTGCACGTGTAAACCGTACCATTTTGTACCAGACTAGACAGTATTATTAAAATATTCACCGTGGAAACAACCGAAAAACAACTGGCGTTGATTTACAAATGATGCGTGTAAGCGAGAAATCCGGTCGAACAACGACCGACACTAAGCAAATCATCAAATTAGTTTGATCGTCAGCCAGCCACAAGCACATTAGCAATGCTTGGTGCACCTTAATTGACGTGACATCATAGTAAAGATAATGAAGTATAGTGTTAAAGGTGTTCAAGTTGGTCCCTTTTGTTTTTCAATTTATTGCCGCTTGCACACGAGACAACAACAAAAAAAAAAAAATCACGAGCGAGACCAATTTTATTTTTGAAATTTACAACTCAAGAAAATTGCTGCGTTTCGCAATACCTCAGTTTGCATTTAATCAGCAAAGACGCCAGACACCAGAGAGTATATTTTTCTGTAGTATATGGCGTGTCCCAATTTAAAATACTGTTGCATTTTTCTCAAAAAATATCAATTCAATTATTATATTTTTGACATGAATATGTCTTATGGCTGGGCGTCTGTCTGGAATTACGTCATTAATCTTCTGAAACAGTTTTTTTTACAGTGATAAGAAACAGCTGTTATAGGATTAATATTAAGAAAATTGTGAAAAGTGAGAGCTAATAATGGTCCCTAATAAGGAATGAATGTAAAGTGATAAGAGACAGCTGCTATAGAATCAGTGATAATAAATTATTAAAATGGGTATGTTTTAGGGCTGGGGTCTATCTCATCATATACACATACACCGATTACTACACATACCATGGTCATCACACACAATAGCATCAAATTTAAAAAAAAAAACTAAAAATGGTTTCAAAAACAATGGACTTTACCGAAACAATTTGCTTATAAGTTGTCAATTTTGGCGAGAACGTTTTTTAGGTAAACGAAAAAGGGCTTTCATTAAGAAAAAAACATGTTTGTGACCGTATGTTGGCTGATTTGAATTTTGTACCATTTTTTTCAACATCCTTCTTCGAACTTAAAAAGTCTCTAATGAACCACTTTTTAATTAAATTAGTATTTTAAAATTGGTCACTCGGTGTTATATACCCATTTAATATTATTATATTGTATTATCTTTTCTTGAAGTATGCTTTGGATTATTATCTTGTGTGAATACATTATCATTTCAATGCCCTTTTCATTTTTGCACTGCCTTAAAGATGAGTCTTCAAAATTCGAATAAACTCCTTGATTCATGATGCCACAATTAAAGTGCAAATTTCCGTCATTCTGATCACTCACATAGCCCCAAACCGCCAAAGAACCTCCACCGTATTTCAGTGTAAATTGGCTGTACATTTTTTAGAACTATCTCTGTACTTACTTTTTGCTAAACAAAACGTCTTCCATTTAAGCGAAATATATTATACTTACTTTCATCTGTGAAAACTATTTTCTTCAAAAGTTAACATAGCTATGTAAATTGTCTTTTGGAAAAAAAAGTCTATTTGTTTTATTTACAAAATAATTTCGATGAGCTACTCGGCCAAGGTTATACTATTATACTAACACAGGCTTCAGAATAATGAGCAAGATCTACCATACGATCTGTTTAAAATAAAAAGCGAGTATAGCTTGATTTTTTTATCACTAAACGTTTATCATGTTCAGAAAATTTCTTTGGTCAGTGGGATACTGGCTTGTTTTCATAACTTTTACGGTCGTCGAATTGATCTACCATGTCTTTGATAGTGCGGCGAGCTCTGTTAACATTTTTAAATAACTGATGTAATGATTTACATTGCTTACGCAATCGTAAAATCACGTTCACTTTTTTTTTTACCCATCTTGAAAATAATATCATTCACAAATGCAAGAGACCATTTTCCAACGATACTTCTGAGCAAACTGAATTGGGATACCTATTATTAGTATATATATATTTTTTTACATGAATGTTTCTAAAGAATATTATTTATTTGTTATTGTAAATAAACGTATTATTTTGTGAAAAATATACAAATGTTTAATGTACGAATATTTATATTTAATGTACGACTATGGTGCGTGTATTTTGATTATTTTTAATTTGGCTGTATGTTGATAAATATTGTTCTAATTTTTTTCTTGTATTATATTGAAGAATTACTTAAGGATAATTTTACAAATGTTAGTTTATAAAACTAGTTAAATATCACGGAGTTAAATATAATAAATATTTAGAAAAAAATAGGGTACACGAATACTTTTTACACTTACTGTATTTTACAACACTATCGTAGTAGTAAGTATTTATACACCACAAAAGCAGTTATTTTATACCAACTAAATGATTTACGAATACAATATAAAAACAAAAAAGACTGTGTAATATTGTTTAAAAAAGCTACAGTTAACATTTGATTAATTCACTTATAATAACTATGAACTATACCGTGGTTTGACTGTTTGCCTAATAATTATATTTATTATACAATTATCACGTAAGATAGGTTAACTAAATTGTATTGTGTTAACCACTCATAAAGGGGAAACAAAATCAAATCTTGGCTTTCATAATGAACAAAGAACATCGTAGCCATGTACTAGTCTCAAAATGACGATTTCGGTACTTTGCAAAATTAAAGTCCTTGATTTATATTTTTAGATGCCCTACAACGATTATACGTACAGAAGCTAAACGGCCGCTCTATCGCATGTTGGTTTTCTATTTCTTTAATCACAGTTATTATGTAGGTAACTAAACAATAGAATTTACCGACTACCAAATGATGCACTGTGATTATTAATTAGTCGAATTTACATCAGCTAATTTGAATAATCTAGAAGGAGTTAAATATAAATATTACACATACGTATGTTTTCTACTTTTGGCAACGGTCATGAAACATTTTTAAGAAAAGTAAAAACCTACAGAACTAAGAAAACTAAGAAAATCTTTTTTCGATTGAGTTCATTAATTTTCAGGCTGTATAAGAATCATTGTTATTCATTTTATATTAGTAACATAATTTTATTATATTGTAAATTATATAATGTAATAATTAATAGCAAATTATTAGTATTAAATTAAAATATTAAATCGAATAAGATATACTATAAAACTGGAAGTAAAGACCAATTTTACAGTAGTCTAAACACAAAAAAAAATGACACCTAATTATTATTTATTTGTACACATTAATATTATTTTGCATAATTATTTTAATATGTTTAAAACTCATGCATTATATTAGTGATTTTTTTTCATTGTTGTGTTTATTCTTATCTGACCTTTTAACTGATTACATTATCGTGCCATTGACAATCCGTAACCCTCATGTAGGGCAGCTTATATAGCATATTTTGTTTTACTAATGGTAATTCTTCTCCACTATTACAATTTTTGAAAATAAACACATCTCATTATTATAAAACCACTAACTTAAAAACGCATATACTTGGTGTTTTAGTTGCTAAATTTTATTTATATTATTTATAGGCAATCGGTAAGAATTCGGTAATATAAAATTAATTAACACAATTGTACTAAAAAGTTAAAGGCTTTTCAAAATAGTTATTTATGAAATGTTTATTTTGAGTATTTCTATTAGTCTCATGCAAAATTGCCTTTTTTAATATGATTTAAAAAATCTCTAATTTTGTTAACTTTACACTCTTGAGTATATGTTAAACGTTTAAAAATGTTTGTGAAACTGTAGTTATACTATAGATTGTTATAATTCAGATTTCCGAACACATGTATTATACATACATAATACACACATACTAATAATATATTTTAACGTGACCTTTTTAACTGTAAATCATTATTAAGATAAAAAAATTACAATTTAACTAATCACTTATTTTTACCGAAAAAAATTGTTTTTACAAGATTAATTATACATATTGGATGTGGTACCCATCGTCAACACCGGCTTAAAAATATTTGTCTGAAGTAATATTTACATTACGGTATTGGATTATTTATAAAAAGTTTATACCTTTTAGCGGTCAAGTTTTTTTCTCGGATTCGTGCACTTCTTCTTTTGTTCGATCAAACTCCTGTTGTGAATCCGAATGGCGACCGATCGAACCAAACCAAACGGTAACGAAATGACAATTGCTTTTAAATTACAATTAAAAAAAACTACTTTAAAATTATTATTATATTAAAATATACATTTTTTTCAAAAACATTTTCGACTTAAATAGGCAAAAATATTTTGTAACAAACGAATAATACTAAGTATTTTTTGTTTAAGAAAATTAGGAACAAATATATATTTTTAAACTGTAAGAACTTTTCTTAAAGACAACTTAAGTACGGATAGCAATGGGCAATAAAACTACAGCTGAACCACACGCGTACCGTGCAACATGTGAACTGAACCGAACGCGCGGTGCATGCAAACAGATAATAGCAGTGTGTGAGTATGTTTAGTATCTACAGTCTATACCCAATAAATATGCATTTTATATACGGTATACTATACTACTGCTTTACAGTAAATTGTAAACTGGCTGTAGTCGTTTGATCTTAATGGTATTGCGCCGATTAGACACGTGGTCTATTATGATGCCGGTTTACGATTAATAATACGTGACATGTAGATTTAAATGAACTAATGATACAATAATTAATAAAATCATTTTTTTCGACTATTTTTACTTTCTGTAGCCGCTCAACAGGTTAATCTCCTTTCTACACGTGACACTCAAATTCCCCACATCACCAATTGAGCCTATATTATATACTTACTTGGATAATTTATTAAATGTTCTTCTCGCTTGTGTGTATTTAAAGATGTCTTGTATTGTACTCAATATTATTAGTACCGTGTGCTGAGTGTTTACACTAGCCTCCTTTAACAAAGGTACGTGTAATAGTAAAACTTCACATAACAATACTAAAGCATCTTGGCCCCCCTCCTGTCTTTATGTTTGTTATGTCGAGCCAATAATGACAACCGTCAACCATCAATATTTATCAGTTCACAAAAAATATATATAAAATAGAGGTCTATACACTGTACCTGAAAGCCACAATCTATTTCATAAAAATTGCATTTGATTTGAAAAAATAAACATTGACCTTATGTATAAAGAATAATTATCGTTGTTGATTTGTTAAACCTACAATCCACATTTGATAAAACCATTTAACACCTTTATAAGTATGTCATGATACTATTGTTGCGACGATAAAAATAATACATTTTTACTTATCATTTTAATAAAAAAATTGTAAAAATGTATTAAAAATTATCAATTTGATAGATATTTTACTTATTATTACAGATAATTGGTCATAAGAGCAAAATATTTTTTAAATAATTAATCGCCACATAGTGGCTTGATCTATTTCATCATTAACGTTTTACTGTGGTTTTTCTTTGAGTGTACTTAATATTAGGGATGAAAAACCTCACTGGTTATTATGTATACAGTATAATGTATATATATATATTGTTTCAAAACGTTATTTAATCTTTTGTTCTACCCAGGATTTAGATGAGATTTTATGTATTATGATTAGGATTAGGCATTAGTTAATAATTATTTTTAAAAATACAATACAATTGAATATATATGCTGATGTTTTATTATTTATATTTACGTATTTAGTAACTATAATAACAGTTTTGTTAAAAATGTAGGGACAAAATAGGGTTACTATATTTTCTGTCAAGATAAAAATCGACAATAGTTCAATGTGTAAATAAACATTTTATTTTATTTAACTAAATGAAAAGTTATCTAAATATTCCAATAAAAATGTCATTTACGATTAGTTAATTTGGTTACAAGTAACGGTAACTTAGAAACCCCTTCGAAATGTAATTGGAACGACATTTCTGTTCCTATTTTGTTCCAGCAATAACTTTTCGATTATATTGTAGCGGCATAATGCGAGAAACGGAAAACAGTTTGAAATGTTTTTATTTACTGTTTAATATACCGTAAGAGGGCGTTACATACATTTTTATGTACAAAATATGATCACACAAATCAAGTTCTATAGACAGACATAGACTTATAACTTATAAGTAGCTAAGAATAAAAACACGGATTATTAGACATAAAAAATACAATATTTTTTAGGGCTTTACGTTGGTGGGTTTTCAAAATTATAATTAACAACAAAGTTATATTTATTTTAAAATGTATTTAAAAAACCGGTTTTTGTTCATAATATAATATCATAAATCCACCTACCTATAGTCTTTAGAAATAATAATACTCAATCAACTCAATAATGATGTTTTTGCTTTAAATCATCATGGACCACACCAAACGGGTTTTGCGTAGCTATGTTTAATTTTAAAAAAGTGGTGAAAAACGTTATTATGTACGTTATGATAAAAAATATTTATGAAGAAATCCAGCGTAGTGTAGTCGGAGCATATTTGAACGGGAGACGTCATAGATCTATAGAATTTGTTTTTATTGAAAATGATAAAATAACTCTCAATTAACGCTTCAGTGCGTATTTATATATATATATATATATATATATATATATATATATATCAAGTCATTGTCAAAAATGTGTTTAAAATTGTATTTTTATCATTAGGGCTCATCGTCTGCTTATAACAATTTGTTGCTGTTGAGTGTTGTTATTTTTCGGTTATTTGTAGACTGTTGATTGACTCACTTGTCAACCTAGAAATTAACTACGGTCAAAGCACCAATTTCTCATTTTTTTTGCTCTATACAAAAAAAGATTGACTACAAATTTTTAAGAAAATTGTTACCTCTAAAATTACTTATTTTAAGCCATATTTTTCATTTTTACCCCTTCTATAAGGGAAAAGGGTTTTGATTTTGTTTTGTTTGGCAACACTTATTGATTGTACTATAAAAAATATTCCATGCAAAATTAGAACTAAGTCGACTACTTTTAAAAAAACTAGCGTGCCTTAATTTTAAGTTAACAAAACAAACAATTTTTTTGGGAGTTTTTCTCTATTTTGATCGGGAAGGGATGAACTTTTTACATTTATAGTTCTATAAAGAATTGTTCAGGTTTGATTTCTGGTCTTTAAAGTGGCTACATGAAGAAATCGGTTCAGCAGCTCAGAAAATATCATGGGTCCACCCCCCCCTCAAAAAAAACACCTATCATTATAAAAACAATTCCTTCTTAGCTTCACATCGAAACCGAAAGAGGAGTAAAGCGTCCTCTTAAGATGATTTTATTTTCAGTGTTAATTACATTTAACGGATGGAAATGATAGTATCAGAAAACAATTGATTGCCTTGTTCGAAGTATTTGTTATCCCTCCCAATCGTAATCTTTAAATCTGCGACTGATGTAAAACATTTATAATATTTATAAATAATAATTATTGTAAGTCATCACCGAGTGCTGGGCCACCTTAAGCATAACCAGCTTTATGTATTTGGCCGGAATCCAGTCGAACAGAATGAAAGAGAACGTTCAGTTATAACTTATAATAATATATATGTGTACATTTTTTTAGTAGTATTTTATTTTGAATTGTTACCGTGAATATTCGCGGCCAACGGGCGGAATGTATTTAAATTTATATGAATATATATATATATATTTATACACATTGTATTATTTTTCAAGAACACGTTGCGTGCCAGACAGAAGACGAAACATTTCTAATAATTATAATAATAATTTTGTTTTCGTCTTCATAAACGTTTTGTTCCTTTTTTGTCAATAAATAATTTTCATTCAAGTTATAACATAATTACATGCTTACAGCTACCACGCTGTCTTATTTAATAGTAAACATATGACTTTGATTTTTGGTAATGATTAGTTTTATTTAGATGACTCTGCATGACTTTTCTAACAATTAATATAACGTTGTCGGGTGAAATACATGTTAAATACAACTACTATCAGATAATTGCTAAACTGATAATAATAGTAATTTATTTATTAAGTTTCACTGTATAATTTAACTTTGTTTTCAAAAAGTGTGTTATTACTTTGATTTTAATTTAACTTTACTTACATACCAACAAATACACACTATTTAAAATCAAAAAACCTGTTGCTGCAGTGTAATATATTATTAAAAAGTTCGTAGTAAAATAAATGAATTAATTGTAAACATCAATTGTTATTGCCTATGGAAATGTTTTATACTATATCAACAACTATATTTTCAATTTTAAAATTATTCAATGAAATCCGTGTAGTGTTTACTGCTAATATAATATGATTTAATTGATGATTGATTGTTTATTATACATAATCATGTATTTGTCAAGTTTCTTCAGAAAAACCAATTTATATTTTTATACTACCTATTACTTATATTTATAATAAATAATAATACTTATAGTCTATAGATGATCTGAAATCCGTTTTAATATTGATATTATCGATATTTATATTGCATTAATATTTATATTAAAAATATTGTGTTACTTAGAAGACTAATATACATTAATTAAAATTGTATTAAGAACACTTGTATAAGCTTAAATAATAAATATTGCCGGTAAACTATTTGCAGCTGAAAATGTTTTAAATACTTTTTCCTTATAATCAAATCTTAAAGAACATAAGATATTGTTACACTTACATTGGCATTAAACGTTGTTATCCCAACATGAATAAATGAAATAGTTTTTTTCTTTACTGTTTTCTTAGCCAATAAGTTTTAAGTATGCCTATAATTCTATATTTATACATGAACATTAAAATTGTTATTATTTTATTTTTATGTTTTCATTTCATGTAATTTTATTGTTTATAAACATTTTTTCTAAACTATTGTCCTTTTGCATAATGTAAGCTATATTAATACAAATTTTTAATTTTATTATAACAATATTCATATGACGAAATTACTGTCCAAAATTTAACTTACAAATTGTTAACTGATATTATAACATTATTTTAATGTTGTTTTGACAATCTTCTTTGCCAATTATTAAATGTTAGTAAAACTATCGATTAAAAATACATTGTATTTAGAAGATATTAGACTTTTTTAAATGGTTTTTTTTTTATATTTTTAGTTTATAGTCCAATCTATTTTAACTTACCTATTTTTCTAAAATATAACTTCATTCCTTATGTATTTAAACTTATTTGGCTTATATTTTAATACGTACATTGATACAAAATTACAATTATATTACATAATATAACGCTAATATAATGCTATATTGAAAAATTAATATAGAAATTATATATAGAAAATTAACACTTCAAAAAAAACATTTTTACTTGTTATCCCAAGTGAGATATAGATAAACGTTTCCTGAGAAATATTCATTAAAATTTAAGGCACTCTGCTTACAAAAAATAAAAATAAAAAATGTCAATCCACTTGACTTTTCTAACACGTTTATTAAACATGTGATTCTCGTTTTAAAATTCCCGTCCATATATCACTTGCAGATAAATGGTAATA